GGGTTAGGGTTAGGGTTAGAGTTTAAGGTTAGGGTTCAGGGTTAGGGTTAGTTCACCAGCAGATGGACCCCGTTTGGAAAACTTTATCCACTCAAACTGAACCTGAAAAAAGGCAGAAAAACCTCTAGTTTACTGTCTAAAATGTGGTTGATTTCGAAGTTGAAGCCTTTTTTTTTAAATGAAGAAAAATCCAGTTCTCATTCTTGTTTGTAGACCATTTTTAAAAATCTTAATTGCGTTTTAAAGCCAAATCTTTACGTTTGTGTCCCTTTGGGGGTCATTCTGTCCGTTAAAGTTAGGGCTAGGGTTAGGGTTTATGGTTAGGGTTTAGGGTTAGGGTAAGGGTCTAGGGTTAGGGTTAAGGTTAGGGTTTAAGGTTAGGGTTCAGGGTTAGGGTCTAGGGTTAGGGTTAGGGTCAGGGTGAGTTCACCAGCAGGCTGGACCCCGTTTGGAAAACTTTATCCACTCAAACTGAACCCGAAAAAGGCAGAAAAAAACTCTGATTTACTGTCTAAAATGTGGTTGATTGGAATATCCAGAAAAATCCAGTTCTAATTCTTATTTTTATGTTTTTTTTGTTGTTTTTTTAAGATTGAGACCATTTTTTAAAATTAATTGCGTTTAGGGTTTGGGGTTAGGGTTAGTTTTAGTTCACCAGCAGGCTTGAACAGGCTGGACTCCATTTGGAAAACTTTGTCCACTCAAACTGAACCTGAGACCTTAAACCGAACCTGAAAAAAGGCAGAAAAACGTCTTGTTTACTGTCTAAAATGTGGTTGATTTTGAAGTTGAAGCCTTTTTTTTTTTTTTTTTAATATTACCATTGCTCATTATCATTATAGAAAAATCCAGTTCTCATTCTTGTTTGTAGACCATTTTTTAAAATCTTAATTGCCTTTTACAGCCAAATCTTCACATTTGTGTCCCTTTGGGGGCGATTCGGTCCATCGAAGGGTTTGGGTTAGGGTTAGGGGTTAGGATAAGGGTTAGGGTTAGGGTTAGGGTTAGGGTTAGGGTTAGGGTTAGGGGTTAGGGTTAGGGTTAGGGTTTAGGGTTAGGGTTTAGGGTTAGAGCCAGGGTGAGTTTTACCAGGCTGGACCCCGTTTGGGAAACTTTATCCACTCAAACTGAACCCGAAAAAGGCAGAAAAACATCTAATTTACTGTCTGAAATGTGGTTGATTTTTAAGATGAAGTCTTTTTTTTTTTACCGCTGTTCATTATCATGTTGGAATATCCAGAAATATCCAGTTTTTATCCTTTTTTTTGTTGTTTTGTTTTGTTTTTTAAGATTGAGACCATTTAAAAAAAATCTGACTTGCATTTTACAGCCAAATCTTTACATTTGTGTCCCTTTGGTGGTGATTCTGTCCGTCGAAGGGTTATGGTTTAGGGTTAGGGTTAGGGTTAGGGTTAGGGTCAGGGTTAGGGTAAAGGTTAGGGTGAGTTCACCAGCAGCTGGACCCCGTTTGGGAAACTCAAACTGAACCTGAGACCTTAAACCGAACCCGAAAAAAGGCAGAAAAACGTCTAATTTACTGTCTGAAATGTGGTTGATTTTGAAGATGAAGCCTTTTTTTTTTACCGCTGTTCATTATCATGTTGGAATATCCAGAAAAATCCAGTTCTCATTCTTGTTGGTGTGTTTTTTTAAGATTGAGACCATTTTTTAACATCTTAATTGCAATTTAAAGCCAAATCTTTATGTTTGTGTCCCTTTGGGGGTGATATGGTCCGTCGAAGGGTTAGGGTTATGGTTAGGGTTTAGGGTCTAGGGTTTAGGGTTAGGGTTTAGGGTCAGAGTTAGTTCACCAGCAGGCTTGAACAGGCTGGACTCCATTTGGAAAACTTTGTCCACTCAAACTGAACCTGAGACCTGAAACCGAACCCGAAAAAAGGCAGAAAAACGTCTAATTTACTGTCTAAATTGTGGTTGATTTTGAACTTGAACAGAAAAATCCAGTTTTCATTCTTGTTTCTAGACCATTTTTAAAAATCTGAATTGCGTTTTAAAGCCAAGTATTTACATTTGTGTCCCTTTGGTGGTGATTCTGTCCGTCGAAGGCATAGGGTTTAGGGTTAGGATAACCGTTAGGGCTAGGTTTAGGGTTAGGGTTAGGGGTTAGGGTTAGGGTTAGGGTTTAGGGTCAGGGTGAGTTCACCAGCAGGCTGGACCCCGTTTGGGAATCTTTATCCACTCAAACTGAACCCGAAAAAAGGCA